AACACGAATGAAAGCCACTTTTCTAATCATAACCAGCTTAAACTAAGCTTTGGAATATTAACGCACTTCTCCCTTTCTGGGGAACACAGCTTTCCTATGAATACAAAGTCAATACAAAGTAACACCAGCCGCAAAACACACACTCAACTCATAAGCCTCTTGATTATAAATAATAACTTCTTAAGAAAAGGCTTTAGATAAAATACATATTTTGATCTTTATCAAAATCTTGGGCTGGTAGTTCTACCTCCACACAATCCTTATCACACACAAAATCACAGCATAACAGACAACGCTAACCGTGCAAAGAATTAGTGAATTTTCACAAGGCCAAACAACCCAGGTCAGAAGAATACAATTTTTCAAGCAAAACCTTTTCAGAGCCTGGTTTATCCCACGGTCCAGGCCACAGACCCATATTTTAAAGACTTTATAATTTAGGGAGATAATTCACCACAAAAAAATATCAAATGACTGTGCTAATTTCTTCTATCTCAGAAATGTATATTGTTCAGGCTGGTTCTTTAAGGGAACTTAATTCAAACATCATCTTTTAAAATGACAAAAAAAAGTTGGATTTTTCTCGAGTCTACAAAACTCGATATAATCCAAGAAATATACTCAGGTTGGCATGTATAACCTGATCTTGAGATTACAACCATACAAAGCCTAGCTGATTTTATAACATACTCTAAAACATCTGTAACCAATAAATTTTACTCCAGCTTTCCTGAAAGCATCATTGGAAGACCTCGTCCAATGTTGACATTCTTCATGCTCAACAGACTTTACAAGCCTGCAGCACATTTCTGTCAAATATGCTCAATTACTACAAATTTTAAGTTCTTTACAAATGGTTTTGATTCACAGAAGAGACAAAAGTCACTGGGAAAGGCATCTGGTAAACAGAGCAAGCCAAATAAAATACACTTTATTAATAAAAAGAAAAGGGACTGACTACAATAGGAAAGTAGGGTTGGTTTTCTTACAAACTATAAGAGCAAATCGAAAACGGGAATTCCCAGGACTCTGAGCAGCCCCATTACCTCCGTAATGGAGTCTTACTCCCCGAAGGGGATTTTCTTTTTTCCTCCACCACGTTCTCTACAAGTTGTCGAGTTCTCCGAATTCTAAATAATGACTGAATACGGGACCACACTGCACCTCATGCAGACTCATCTCACTCCATCCACACAGCAATACGGGGTATTTCCACTGTTTTGCAGATGAAGAAACTGAGGCTGAGTGTTTAAAGCAACTTGCCCAATTCACACAGGCAATAAGGACAGACCAGAGATTATTAACTCAGACCTAGAATTTATACTCACACCAAATATACACATACGTGCCTGGCGTGTTTAGGTTTTGACCCACACTTTGACTCTCCCTGTTGGTCTATTCCTATCCTAGGGGAATTATGTCTATTTTACCATGGCCACGCGATACTGCAATCACTCACTTATTAATACTTCCTACTCAATTAATTGTAGTTTCCACGAAGAAAGGACCATACCCACTCATGTCTGTAGTTCCAGAAAACAGACCAGAGACTTAGCACATCTACATAAATGCCCTGTTAGGAGTCTTGCTGGGGCCTTGAGGCGCCACTCGTATAGCCGCTCATGGATGGTGAATGTTACAGGATGACTACTGGACTACTGGCTGCTCTTTTAGCTCTCAGGAATTCAACCACCCCCCCACCACAGGTAAGGAAAGCCTGGCAGCAAGAGTACTCAGCGTGTCAGCCCTCGTAGTAGGGCTGTCTTCACATCTCGGACAGCACAGAATGTGAGGGATAGGAGATAGGGTTTTCTTTCTAAGTTTAAGGACTGCACTCACTTCGTGAACCTCTAGCAGTTCATATGTGTTGTAAAAAAGTAAATACACTGAATATACGAGAATAAAGGGTAAATACCACACAAGGTGAATCAATAGAATAATCCAGCCTGTAATCTCAGCACTCTGGGAGGCCAAGGAGGGTGGATCACCTGAGCTACAGCAAGATCCCATCTCCAAAAAAACCAGCCAGGCATTGAGGCGGGTCCCCATAGTCCCAGTCACTTGGGAGGCTGAGGCAAGAGGGTCTCTGGAGCCCAAGAGTTTCAGGTTGCTGTGAGCACTCTACCAGAGGTGACAAAATGAAACTATGTCTTAATTTTTTTTTTTTTTTTTGAGACAGAGCCTCAAGCTATCCCCCTAGATAGAATGCTGTGGCTTCACAGCTCACAGCAACCTCCAACTCCTGGGCTCAAGCGAGTCTCCTGCCTCAGCCTCCCAAGTAGCTGGGCCCACGGGCGCCTGCCACAATGCCCGGCTATTTTTTGGTTGCAGCCGTCATTGTGTTTGGCGGGTCCGGGCTGGATTTGAACCCACCACCTTAGGTGTATGTAGCTGGCGCCTTAGCCACTTGAGCCACAGGTGCCGAGCCTTATTATTATTTTTTTTAAAGAATATAAAGTCTTAGCAAAAGCTATCTTCTCATTAAAACTAGAGTCCATGGTCAAGAGCAGACGGTTTACACGCTTTCCCACAGAAGAAGCCTATGAGGTCAGTCGTTAATGGCATTTTGAGAATACTGTAATTACAAAATGACACAGGTTAATACTTTAGGAGACATCAAGTCTCTCAAAATAAAAGGAGTATTTGCAGGATTAAGTCTCTTGTTTTGTTAAACATTAAAGATCTTGGAACTTAAAGGGGAATGTAAAAATATAAACGACCAATACTAAACTGGTTAACAGAACACTGATAGTAAACTGGTTAACAGAATCTGATGCTTCGTGTTCTTTCAGAGATCTTCTACCTAATAAATGTTCTGGCCTGTGGCTTCTGTTTTCCTTCCACTTCTAGAAACTGACCTCGCCCTTCTCTAGCCCTTACCTTCCTCTCCCTCCCCTCCTCTCACCTCAGCCCCAAACCCACTTTGGAATGTCTTTACTCTCTCAAGATGACAGAGTGACAGCCACAAACTCCTAATGAACAGTTAAAATGGCAGGATCCCACACTAATCCTGACTTTCTTTAAAGTAGTATTAGTCTTCCAGAAAACCAATCTAATTCTTAGAAGCAGAAGACACAGGAAGCTCAAAGTTCCAAGAAAAGTTAATAATAGTTGATTCATCTGGCTGCCCAGGAAACACACAGCAAGGGACTGCGCTCCATACAACACAACAGATCCCTCTTCTGGTACCGAAGCCTGCTAAGAGCTCTGGAGCAAGTGCACCAAGACCAACAAGTATAGGAGAACCACAGAGACTTGGAGAGAAGAATCGTGAGCAGATGGAACATGGGATAGGCCAGCGAGCCACAGAGCCCACCCCTGACGGGGGCCAGAGTGGATGAGGGGTGAGGGTGGGACAGCCTGGGGCTGAGTCAGGGGAGGCCACAGAGCCACAGAGCCCACCCCTGACAGGGGTCACAGTGGAGTGAGAGTAAATGAGAAGTGAG